AGCACCCAACGTAAGCCGCCCCCCCCCCCGTCCCTGCCACCCCCGCTGTGGGGAGGAAGCCTCCCCGGGGGCCCGGCCGCACGGCAAAGCCCCGGGAGGGCTGAGCCATCGCCCCCTCGGCCGGCCGCCGCCGTCCAGCCGTGCCCCTTGCCGGGAGGAAGGCGAGAGCAGGGAAACCTGATCCGGTACTGACAAAGGAGAGCCCTTTCTTCACCCGCAAGAGTAACTATGGTTTGTTAAGGTTCCCCCTCAGGCTTTAAGCACACGAGTCCCCCCACACGCTACTTCGCTAATCAGCGATAAGGGCCCTGGGATCCTGCTGCCTTCCCAGAGGCCAAACGCCCCCCGTTCCTGCACGGTAGCACAAAAGCTAAAGCACAGAAGTCGTGGCTGAAAACCAACACAGAACAGGGTAAGGATGGAAAAACCAGACATCTCAGTAAGAGATAAAAACTCACCAGGTAGCAGAGGGGAGCGCAGCACACACCTCCGGAGCAGCGTCCTCCAGCCGAGCCGGCGGGGAGCCGGGAAGCGGCTGCCGCCCCGGCCCATCACTGCCGTTAAGTGCAGCTCCAGGGTGGTGCTGCCTGGGAAGGAGCCTTTATGCAGGCTGCGTGCTCAGTGTAACCGCTGCAGAGAGACACACGGACGATAAATATAGTGGGAGAGAAGGGGTTCGTGGTAACCAATTTGGGCAAGGTTTGGTGCCCGGAGCTGCCCGAGAAGCGGCTCCTGCACGGCCTGGGCATGTCGGTGGGACCCGGGTTGTCCCAAAGGGCCGAGGCCGGGGCCCTGTCCTGCCACGACACGGAGGCGTAGCTGGGGTTCAGGGGAGGCGTTGCAGCAGTGGTGCCCTATACGGGGTAGTCACCGGCGCTGCGGAAAGGCCTTTTTAAATTAATCGAATGTAATCTCTTGAGAGGCTCCTTTGCTCTGGGGGAAGGGTGTTCGGGGGTTGGAAACTTCTGCTGAAATGGTGTTATTTTCCCAGTTGCGCCTGAAACAAACAGGAGCATTTTGGTAAATTAGATCAGAGCAGGAAAAGTCAAATGAATGTGATAGAATGAAACACCCTTGTATAAATCCCCCCACTTAAATGATATTTTGGCAAGAATAAATAATTAAAAAAAAAAGAGTAAGGGCTTTGATGAGGGGGAAGCTGAGAGACACAAAGCCCCAGAAAGGCAGCAGGAAATTAAAGTTAATTATAAAGGAGGATTAATTTAAGCCATCAGACATGGCATGCTGGGCTAATGTCAGGCCTTAGATGCATTGCAATGCATGACAGAAATCGGAGAGCCGTCAGCCACTGCAAAAGTGGCTTTTTATTGAAAATCAGAAATTGCATTTGGTGTTATCCCAGCAAAACACGTCTTGGGGGAGGCAGCGGTGCTGTGTAATGACCACTTGCTTGACGCACAGAGGAACAGGCTGGGCTGGTTTTCCCGAAGCCGTCCTTCCGCAGTGGCAAATTTGTGGGCTCCCGTTTCCATTTTTGATCCTCTTTTGACTGGAGCAATCCCTGATTCTTCTAGAAGCTGCAGACAAAGCTACCTTATATTCTTCATCCCTCTCTCCTTCCTAGCACCCACTTCTCCCACGCCCTAGCTTTGATTTGGTTGATGGGTCGATGCTCTAGCCCGAGCTGGGGGATCCCACTGCACCTCGCAGGCCCAGACAGTTTGGCCACCCAAGGACTGCCGTGTCTTTGCTGTCGTGTTTTTTAGCCCGTTCCAGAGACCTCTTGTGCGTTTTGAGGGCCAGGGGCCCCCCCGGGGCCGGCGTGCCGAGCCCGTGAGGGCTGGTGGGTCCTGCTGCAGCCGGGGCTGCCCCACCAGGGCGGCGGGTCAATCCCTCCCATCCTTCGGCAAACGCAGGGTTTGGCCCAAGAAGTGACGTTCTCCAAGCCTTTCGTTGTCGCTGGAGGACTTTGAGGTCTGTCCCCTTTGCAGTCTGCTCCTCTCTGCCGCAGCCTCGGCCTCAGTGTCCCCGCTCGGGCGCCCGCACCTCCCGCTCCCATCCTCCGGCTCGCGAAGGCGCTGGTGGCGGCAGGGCCGGACC